TGGGGTACGAGCCAGAGGTGCAGGGGTGGTGAGAAGCTTCACCAGAGACAGAGTGGGGAGCAGGACAGGCAGATGGACAAAATACACTGCTAAGGGGAGCAGAGCAGCGGGCAGGTCAGGAGAGGCTTGCCACTCCATGTGGATCACCTCCTGGGCTAGGGATTGAACTTGCACTGAAGGGCTGCAGCTAGCTTGCAGTGTAGCATTCTAATCCCTTGCTCCACCAATGAAGGCCCTTGCATTCTGATGAAGGCAGAGTGTATTTCCCAGTCTGCATGATAGTTGTATTTCGTGTAAGTGAATGTGCTGACACTCTGGCTTTGTTTATATTGAAAGATTATATTGATTAACACGGACTGCACCTCCAGGATCTTTAGCCACTGAGTCAAGACTAGACCCTGAACTGAGGTTGAGTCATCTAGTCTGTCAATGACAGCAGATGTCCCCTGTGTATTCATGAACCCCACCCCCCTTAAAATAAATTAGTAACTAGGGAACAGCTCCCTAGTCAGAGATATTTCCCAACCTCTATTGTATCCCTGGGCTATTCTTTTGAAAGTTTACAAGGAAAAGTAGTCACCTTTTGTATTCCAATTATCATTGACCATGGGAAGCAATCAGACTCAGATAATGATCTAATTAATCATTATTCTTTTCTTTGGGGGCCAACCCCTTAACAATCAGGGTTCATATGCTTTTCTTTCCAGTAAGTGATGAGCTTACTGTGAATGATATGTCAGTCAGGAGTTTTGTGTTTGAGTTTCAGCTGAGTCTCTAACAACTGACCTGGCCCAGCAAGGTAACATCTCTGATTCTCTTTCAAACAAAATATTTTATGGATCAGTCAATATAATAAATATAATATTGTAGGTCTAAAGAATCTTCCCTTTTATTATAAAATAACAAGTATTTATTGAGCTCTTCATTTTATGTTCTATGCTAAAAACATCATGCCAATTTTAATCACCCCAGGAAGTTGGACCATTTTATGATGAGAGAATGGAGGTTTTGAGAGTAGAAATTAGTTGATCAAAACTGGTAGACAAAAGGACTAGAATTTATGCTCCTACCCAACTCCTTTATAGCCATACTATTAATCATTATGCTGTGCTGCTTAGACTTGGCACATACTATAAGAGGATCTTTAATCTATCTTAATTTGAGACATGTTTTACTTTCTATAGGGTGATTCCCCTTTTCCATCCTTAAATGTTCTGTCTTTTTCTAATGCCAAAGGAATTGAAAGAACTTTTGTACTGCCATGTGTTTCATTTATAAACAGTCCCAGACCATTTGAAAACCCACATCATTTTTGAAACTGGATGTACTAGCTTATTTTTCACAGTAACTCTTAATACTTTTTTGCCACATTGTTTTTTTATAAAATAAAAGATCAAATGTGTGAAAAGAATTTCACACAAAATTCCTCTGTATGTCAGCAGTCATAGTAACTGCAATTGATTATTGTAGCCAGAATTAAGGCAAAATAATTTAGACTATGGTTGTTTTGTGAAGACCTACTTAAGACAATTAGAATTTGAACTTTTAAAAATTCTTAATGTCATTTGGGCTGGCCTAGTTATATTACCAAACTTGGACTGCTGTGGATATATGTAGGACATCTGGTAGAGAGATGACCAAAGTATGATCTAAATTATCTTGTAGTGATAGGTTGATTATTGAATCGTTGTATTTTATTCATTAAATAAAAATTTGGGAATATTTTGCTCTTCCAAAAGACTGGGAAGGAAAACTGTACTAGGAAATTTAGGCTATAATAGTAGAAGAGCAAAGGGACAAGAGACTTTCAGGGGAAATGAGGTTCAATAGAGTCATTCAGGAAATGGTGAATTATGTGGTAAACCCTGTATTAGGAGAGGGACTGCTGAGGGTGGCCCCCAATTTTGCTGTATTGAAAAGACCACGAAAATGAAGAGGGCCAAGTACAACTTGAAGATTTAAGGGGACTTACAATATTTTACTGTGGCTGCAACACTGAACTCAGGGGAGAATGGCTTGTGAGGCAGTCCACAGATACATGAAAGTATAGACTTCTTTGCAAGCAGTGTGTGCTTAATAGGAAAGTCAGAGTTATCTAGGTAAACTCATTAGTTTTTAGTGGTCATTGTTTTATTTGGCATTTTCAGCAACCAGTCTCCACATAACTTTTTAACCATCTCACCACTCCCTAAGCCACTTACCCACCTACCCACCTAGTGCTTGAGCTACACCTTCAACAACCAGCAGTTGAGAGATCTTTTAATTCTGTGCATGAGAGGCCAATTAAAAGAGAAAGTTGCACCCTGGCTTCCCTTGGGTTTCTAAAACCCCCACAATGCTTATTGCATTGTTGGCTATTACCAACGTTAGACTTTTGAGATTTTATATTACACAGATTTTTAAAAATTGTTGGCATGATTATTCTAAAAATTGTAAGTAATAAACCTACTTAGGGCTGGCAGTGTGGCCTGAGTATTAGTTCAGGCCCAACCATGGCCCTCGACCTAGCCGTCTCTCTCTTGCCAGAGACCACACCCCTCCGCAGACATAACCACAGAAGACTATTTCTTTTGGACAGGTCTCTGACCTCGAAGCCAGCTGCCTTGAAGCTTTGGGTGCTAGACATAATATGGGTAGAGTCCAAGAGTTATTTCTATTTTATATATTTAGTTTGACTGTTAATTATTTTTATTCATCGTAAGTTTGGCTCTTGGGGTATATCTAAAATATTTCCAAAAATGTATGCTTTTAAGTGTCATATGTGTAATCTAAAGTCCATTGGGACGTGCAAAGAATACTACAATTTATGGTAGCACCCACAGCAATGCCATATTGTTTCTCTCTTGGACATATAGCAAGTTGAAATGTGGATTGAACTCCACCAATGCATGTAAAATCTTTAGTTTTCTTTCTTGCGGATATGATGAGGTGAGTTTTTCCTCAGAAAATAGTTTGTGATCAGCCTGGACGGCTGATTTTTCCCCATCAGTTTCTCCTTTTAATAATTGAAAACTACTGTTCATTATTTACATAAAACTGTCCTTTTCTGGTCTGCTTTCTATAACCTTTCCCCTCTGAAGAATTTTAAGAATGCCCTAACTTTTCTCTAGGGGATTTTATGCTGCTTTATCCCAGATGTGGGACATAGACTAAGCTGAGGTTTTGTGTGTGTGTTTTTTTAATGTTCTTACATTTGAAAGACGTTCTTTTAACCTATGAGCTAAGCTGCCACTGAAAAAGGACTTTTAAGAAAGTTAAGTGGTTAAGAAAATATGTGAGTTTGGTTTAAATCTTTGACATAGTAAATAACACCAAAATCCCATATGCAAAATGGAAAAGTAGACAGCAGTTTCAGATAGAAAGGGGGGGAAGGACACGTGCAATAGAAGCCTTTTGAGTCTGGAATCTTATTTTGTGAATGAAGACCCATCAGTGTCTAGTTCCAGCGCCATGTGTCTGGTCTCTCCCTGCAGGCTTGATGTCAGCCCACGCCATGCAAGGGTGACAGAGAGTTATCCTGCTTTTGTCCTCTGTTCACACCTTCGCTGGCACTAGAGGATAGCTAGTTTTATTCAGAATATTTTTTCTGTCATCTTATTGGTGAACTTATCCTAGTCACTGGTTTATAATGAAGAATGTTAGGAAGAGGGGAGCAGTTAGCATAAGGGAAGGTATATAAACAAAGCAGGATTTTCTTTTTATCCCTAATGTCATTCAGATTACCAACATTTCACCAATAGCTTTTGGTTACAGTGCTTTTCATGTTAATATCTAACAACTACATGAAATGTAAACATTTGTATGTGATCAAATGTGAAAAGAATATCAAGAAGAGTTAATCTTCCCTATTTAAACCAGACATATGTTTCCCCAAATTCAGGGTTCTGTTTTCCACAATAAATGCTTGCCTGACCGGCCATGTTTGATGTATTAGTTAAAATACTAGGTTTTAGGAAGTTTCTTTCTAGTTCAATTTTGTTGTACTTTTTTTTTTTTAAGATTTATTTATTTATTCATACAGAACTGGGGTGCAGGCCAGAGATGTGGAGGGTGATAGGATTCACCAGAGACAGAGTGGGGAGCAGAACAGGCAGATCAACGAAGTACACTGCTGAGGGGAGAAGCGGGCAGGTCAGGAGAGGTCTGCCGTGCCATGTGGTCACCTCCGGGGTAGGCGGGGATTGAACTCATGAGGAAGTGGTTTTAGCTTCTTAGTGCTGTGCTTTAACCCACTGCACCACCAGAGAGGGCCCTTGTTGTACATTTTAAGGCTCTAAATTCATGAGTCTTGTTCTTCAATATTTAGACATTTTCTTCATGAAGTTGCTATCTACCGTATGTTTCCTATTATGCCATGTTCCAGTGGTTAACTGCCTTCTTTCTCCCCCCTTGTAGGATCTTTCGAAGATGGTTAGGCTGTCTTGGAGATTTGGAGATTGGGTGCCACAATGAGGACTCACACGCGGGGTGCTCCCAGTGTGTTTTTCATATATTTGTTTTGCTTTGCATCGGCCTACATCACCGACGAGAACCCAGAAGTCATGATTCCCTTCACCAATGCCAACTACGACAGCCACCCGATGCTGTACTTCTCCCGGGCAGAGGTAGCGGAGCTACAGCTCAGGGCAGCCAGCTCGCACGAGCACATCGCTGCCCGGATCACCGAGGCGGTGCACACCATGCTGTCCAGCCCCTTGGAGTACCTCCCTCCCTGGGATCCCAAGGACTACAGTGCTCGCTGGAATGAAATTTATGGCAACAACTTGGGTGCCTTGGCAATGTTCTGTGTACTGTATCCTGAGAACATTGAAGCCCGAGACATGGCCAAAGACTACATGGAGAGGATGGCAGCGCAGCCTAGTTGGTAGATTTTTGTCTTTTTCTTCTTACTGTTAACTCTGCAGTGTAAAGAAATTAATTCGCATTCAGATAAAATCTCAGAAGCCAGATTTTCACTTAGTTATGTGTATGGTGGGGGGGCTTATTAGTTGGGTTGCCATGTCTGATGAATGAACCATAATTTCAAAGGACCTAGTGACTTCCATGTTTAAAGTTAGAAGGAAAATATTTAGACAGAGCCTAACCAAGAAAAAAATAACTTGCAGAACTGAATAAATAATATCATCTTAATTGAGAACCTTTTCCGCTAGTTTAATAAGCTTTTCTCCCATCATCTAGCGTTAGGTTTTGATTGACCTTCAAGAGGTTTAAACATTTCTCTGGCAAGAAATTTCCATCAATTTAGATTAATTTGTATTTATGACAATAAAGAGCTAAATGTAAAGGTGATAGGGTTAACTGGCAGTTTATAAATAGGAGTCTACCCAATAACCAACAAATTATCCAAACTTATAGGAAAATCAGTGTTATAGTGTAATTGTGTGAGGAACTCTAATTATGTAATAGTTTACTTTTAGAAGTTTTAGGTTTGAAAACAGCTTCCTATTTCTTTTTGATTACCTTAGCTTTATTTCTTTATAATGAATATGGGATGGATTGGGTAAACTAGAGATTTTATGGGTATTTTGTTTAAATGTTGTTTAATATACATTCATGATTCATTTACTAAAAAATGCAAACTACGTGAAATAGTCTTTCAGGATTATGTGAGCTGTTGCTATCATAGGGATGATGAGAACCTATTACAAGATCATCAGTGCCTAGAAATTCCAGTAGATGCATTTAATACCATAATGAATTTACTTTTTTTTTTAATTTTTTTAAGAATTTTATTTATTCGTACAGAACTGGGGTACAGGCCAGAGATGCAGAGGGTGAGAGGATTCACCAGAGACAGAGTGGGGCACAGAACAGGCAGATGGATGAAGTACACTGCTGAGGGGAGCAGCAGGCGGGTCAGGAGAGGTCTACCGGGCCATGTGGTCTCCTCCGGGGCATGGAACTCATGCTGAAGTGGCTTAAGCTTCTTTGTGCTGTGCTTTAACCTGCTGGGAGGGCCTGAATTTACTTCTTGCATGAATTATATCTCACATGTCAGTGGGGTGAAGAATGGTAGTTTGCAAACTTTCATAATTTATTTCCTCCTCAATTTCCGCAACTATAGAAAAGAGTTGTAATTCCTCCTAAGTGTCTAAAGGTGTGGTAGAAAATGCTGTTTCCTTAGAAAGCTTGAAATTTTTTCTGGATTTTCTGTCAGAAAATCTTAATGAAAAGATTAAGGAGGAGTTGGAATTAAGCCCATATAATAGCTGATTTTTAAAAACATTGTTAGGTATTTATAGCCATTTTGATGTTTATAATATTTTAGGTTGAATTTCAAAGAGCCTTTTAAATTTATTTTATCTCAAAATAAATTTTTGAGCCATGTGTGCTGTAGTTTTTGTCTTTGAGCTTAATGAACTGATCCGATTCTGTTCCTAACATCAACAAAGAATGTAAAAAGAAGGGAAAAAAATAAACATAGGCATGAAATTTTGGTATTTGACCTGTAAGACTATATGATCAAATGTAGTAGACACTCACTTGCCTTTGTGCAATTCGTTTAGAATGGCAACAAAATTTAGGGGGAAAATTGTCTGGAGTACCTTTTCTTTTATAATTCTAACAGTTTCTGTTTTAGGTAAATAAGTGAGATTTGACAGGGTAAGGTACGGATGAAAATGTATCAGATAATATCCAGTTAAAAGGCATTTGCTTTCACGAAGAGTAGCTTACTGTGAAGTATCACTTTTATGAAGGATTTTTTTTAATTTCATATTTGTTGGTTATTAGAGCTGAGTTGATATCTACTAGATTGTTTATTTATTTACTTATTCAATTATTCTGGCAGTATTGATAAAAATAGGCCTAACTCAGTGCTGCCATTGAGTAACCCAAGTCAGTCTATGTTATGAGAGCTGAGCAGTTGACTTCTTTTCTCTTGACTTCCTAGAGGCTGAAGGTTAGAAATTGAGAATTTACCTTTATATATCAGTATTTATTCCAGAAATGATCCTTGCTAAAAATGGAGCTACTGGGGCCCTCCCTGGTGTCACAGCGGGTTAAAGCACAGCACTAAGAAACAAAAGCTACTTCTGCTTGAGTTCAGTCCCCGCCCCAAGAGGTGACCACATGGGGAGGCAGACCTCTCTTGACCCACCCCTGCTCCCCTCAGCAGTGTACTTCCTCAATCGGCCTGCTTTGCTCCCCACTCTGTCTCTGGTGAAGCCTCTCACCGCCCCTGCACTCTGGCCTGTACCCCAGTTCTGTAACACATAAATAAATCTTTTATAAAAATTAAAAAAAAAAATTGAGCTACTGGAACATCTTGTCGTGGAGTAACTACTGTTACTGGGTTGTGCTTTTTAATTATTTTGGGGGAGAACTTTAGCTTTTTTTTTTTTTTAAGATTTATTTATGTATTCATACAGAACTGGGGTACAAGTCAGAGGTGCAGTGGTGGTGAGAGGATTCACTAGAGACAGAGTGGGGAGCAGAACAGGCAGCTAGATGAAGTACACTGCTGAGTGGAGTAAGTAGCCAGCCAGTCAGGAGAGGTCTGCCTAGCCATGCGGGTCAATCACCTCTGGGGGTCAATCACCTCTGGGGCAGGGGATGGAACTAGTACTGAAGCAGCTGTGGCCAGCCTGCAGTGCTGTGTCCTAACCCGTTGTGCCACCAGGGAGGACCCCACTTTAGCTTTGCAAAAGTGACCACTCCCAACTTCTAGACTCAAATTTTCATTTTGATTTATAGTTGAACTTAATCAGTTTTTTAAAATGTTAATTCTATTAAATGTTATTTTTCAGCTATCTGTGTAAATCAACTAAATCTTTTCCTTTAGTACATTGTGGGTACTGTCATTGTCTTAACACATAGTTCATCTATGTTTGATTTCAGAGGAGAAAAAAAAAACTAGTTCTTAGTTACAAATGAGTGCAATAAGTAATATTTTGGAATTGAAAAAAAATCTTCCTACAGTAGCTTTTCAGAATTAATACAGTTGCCATTTTCCTGACAAGCATTTCTCTCATCTTATAACCCAGTAACTTTATAATTGTAGCCTAGGTAAGTGCTGCATACATTGGCTGTTTGAAACTTAACCTGAGGATAAGTTTAAGTTTTTGCTCATAATGAGAGGAAAGCTCTAAATAAAGGGTTTCATGAGGGCCCACCCTGGTGGCCCAACGGGTAAGGATGCAGCACTGCAAGCTAGCTACAGTCACTTCAGTGCAAGTTCGATCCCTGGCCTGCGAGGTGATCCCCATGGCGCAGCAGACATCTCCTGACCCTCCTGCTGCTCCCCTCAGCAGTGTACTTTGTCGATCTGCCTGTTCTGCTTCCTGCTCTGTCTCTGGTGATCCTCTCTCTCACTGCCCCCTGAGCCTCTGGCTTGTACCCCAGTTCTGTATGTATATATAAATAAATAAATAGTTTCATGAATTTCTGTGCACGGCTATTACACAGGTTTGTAGCACGTTCTGCATTCTGATGCAGTAGGAAAGCTCACTGGAGTCACTCTTCCTGGATTCTAGGCCCGACTTTCACTTTTCAGCTGTGTTGATTCAGACTTATTTACTTGATTTGAGCCTTAGTACCGTGATATATATATGTGCAGAGATAATAACAGTAGTATCCACCTGTAAGTTTGTTAAGATTAAGTGAGATAATCAATAACTATTACTGTGATTATTCTACTTATTACCTAGACCCTACTCTATCAAGTTTTATCTCTCTATATATAATTTCTGTTATTTTTGAAAAGTAAGGACTAAATGGTATTTGTTCATCATTCAGCTAACATTTATTAAGCATCTCTTGTATTTCATACACTGTGCTGGGGAGTGGAATTTCAAAAGTAAAGAAATAGCCCATTGTCTGGCTGGCTGTCTGTCTCTCCTCTCCTTTGCCTGCTCTTCTCTCGCTCTCTAGATATATAGACTAGTTATATATGTATAGTATATACATATATGTCTGTAAGGAAATAGTATTTGGAATTTATTTGTAGATTTTGCTCATTTGTTTAAATTGCTTTCAAAACTAGAACATCTGTTTAACTCATAACATTTTTCTTTTGGCTTTGTTCCATCAAAACTTCTAGCATTCCTCCCCTGGGCCCTTTTTTGTGCTTATAAGAATCTGACAGTAACACCAATGAAGGCTTGGGGGAGAGTAACCATGATATGTTTTTAGCCTGTTTGTTAAAAAACATCTGATATAAGCATACATCCAAATTCATCACTGTGGTTCATTTCATTTGAGTATTTTGTAAATAGTTTCCTTTAGGTGTTTTATTTAAGAGACTTGCAGCCTTATAAAAGTTAAATGGAAAATTCTAACTCTACTGGTCTTATCATGTGTCATCTGATACAACGAACCAGAGTAGAAAGGAAACCTGATAGATTGATAATGTTGGTGTTAACTGAAAAGTAGCAGCACACAAGGCTTCTTTCTTCTACTAGCTTTATTATTGTGTGTGTCTCCCAGTATCCAGGCAATTTGGCACCTCAGAAAGATGAGATTTATCTGTGTGTCATAGCTGCCCTTGCAGATACCCACAACCTCTCTCAGAAGCTCTCCCCTTTGTTCTTCTACCGTCTCCTGATACTCATGCTTCATAACATGAAAGGTTGCTCCCCAGGGTTAAATGAGATAATGCAGGCAAAACACTTAGCATTATGTACCTGACACACAGTTGTAGTAAACAGTTTTTTATCATTCATATGTCACAGAAATGGGTATTTTCAAGTTGCTTTATTTTCCACTTTCTTAATATTCAGTACGCCATTTTATCTGACACTCTGGATTTGTGTTTTTGAGAAGTATTTGTTGTGAATCATCCTTTCCCCCTTTATAGTATTTTTTGCTTACATATCATCAGAAAATAAATCACAGAGGAAAGAAATTACTTCACTCTTGCATGAG